TATTTTCCACAAGGGCACTTGGAACAAGTGGGTGGACTGTTTATCTTCAAATTTCTGTTTTTAGATGGATAATTAAATGATTCCGTTTATGGAAAAAGGATTGAGTATTTTTTGGTGGGAATTGTAGTTGGAGGCATCCACAAATCTGGAGCTGAATCAAAGTATGCCGTGTTAGTGACGTTCGGCTGCTGGTATTTATTTCTCTTTTGTAATTTTTATTTTTATTTATTGTATGTTATGTTACTTAGAAAGTTCCTTTTATTTTTTATTTTATTAGATTAGATTTTTTTTTTTTTTTATGTTCATTTTGAAGAGAAATTCCATTTATCTTTTAGTAGTTAGGTTTTCTTAGTCTCCTGAATAAATTGTACTGTCAAAATCATTGATTTGGGGATAATCTTCTTCTTCTTCTTCTTCTTCTTCTTTCTTTTTTTTTTTTTTTTTCCTTTTGGATTGTCAATTTGGGGATAATCTATCTCTATCCATCATTCTCTTCGTAGGCTGAACAAGAAACTGATGAGATTTTTGCGAAAATAGCTTTGCGTCCTGAAGCAGATGTAAGCTCCACCATTTTTTTACTTCTTTGAGTTATTGGAATGGACAATGTTGGATTTTACTTGCTTTAATATTAGTCAACTGAAATTTACTTAATGCTACCTGTAGCAAACTGAGCCAACAACACCAGATTTGTGTCTTCCTCAGCCTCCAAGGCCTAAGCTTCACTCATTTTCCAAGGTTTTAACTGCTTCTGATACAAGCACCGATGGAAGTTTTTCATTTCTCCATAGGCATGCCGAGGAATGCCTTCCCCCACTGGTACTGATTTTAATGTTGCATTATGCTTTTAGCTCCTTTTGTTCATCTACATGAAAACCAACTTTATTCAACATATTCCATATCTGGATCTTCTTCAGGACTTGAGGGAGGTGCCCCCCCCAATACTGGAATTGGTTGTCGAAGATCCCCCAATGCAGGAATTGGTTGCCAAAGATCTTCACGGCCATGAGTGGCGCTTCACGCATACTTTCGAAAGTAATAAATAATGTCTACCTTGTTTGTCCTGTTCGTGTGATGTTTCTGAAGAAATGAAGTACCTATTATTCTTTTTACTTTGAGTGGCTGTCTAGTTGATAATGGAACTGGACATGCTGCTTGAGAAACCTATTAAATCAGTGTGTTTAATTTGGAGAGGATTAAATGGGCAGGTCAATCATGCAGGCACTTACTTACAACAGGATGGAGTACTTTCGTCGCTTCAAAGAGACTAGTTGCTGGTGATTCCTTTGTATTCTTGAGGTAAGTGTTTTCAAATCTCATGTAGTGTGTGAGAGCACCCATACTTTTGTAACTTGAGCTTTAATTTGTTAATAAATTGGTTACGCAGAGGGGAAAATGGGGAGTTGCGTGTTGGAGTTAGGCGTGTTGCTTGCCCACAAAGTAGTATGCCATCATCAGTGAATCCAGGTCAGAGCACGTACCTGGAAGTGCTTGCAACTGCATCTCATGCTATTGCAACCCAAACCCTCTTTGTCGTCTATTACAAACCAAGGTATGTTTTTATACAGGTTCAGTAGCACGAGGAGAACATATCTTTCTTTTCTTATATTTGTCTTGCTTGTAAATTATCAGGACGAGTCAGTTCATCATCAGTGTGAATAAATATCTAGAGGCTGTCAACAATAAGTTGGTAGTAGGCATGAGGTTCAAGTTGAGGTTTGAGGGAGAGGATTCTCCTGTGACAAGGTAATTGAAAAAATGTCATAGTTGCGTAATGTGGTGGTTGTTTGAGTTGCCAACATGATGCTTATTTAACAAACTTGGTTGGTCAGGTTTATAGGCACCATTATTGGGGCTGACGACTTTTCTCCTCACTGGAAAGACTCAAAATGGCGATCGTTAAAAGTAAATTTCTTTTTGCATGCTTTCTTCCACTGTGTTCTAAATTTATTGTTCTAGTATTGATGTTTTTATATTTGTGCCTAGGTTCAATGGGATGCACCTGCAACTATCCCAAGACCTGACAGGGTTTCACCATGGGAGATAGAACCATGGTTTGGTATTTATCTAGAAAATTCTTCTGCAAGCTCAATTCCATTGAAACAAGCACTGGTGAGTATAATTGTGAGTCTATTAAGTAATTTTACTGCATTATTAAATAATTAAATTTTTTCATTTAAAATTTTATTCATAATATTATATACATCTACTCGTTTAATAATACATCATAATTATAAATTTATATTTCTACATAACATTATAATTAAAATATTTTTGTAAATATTTTTCTTTGGCTATCAAGAAACTATTGTCAATTTATTCACTCCAAGAATCTCTAATAGATTATTTGGTTTGAGTGGCGGTGAGGGGAGAGAGATTATTTTCTCTATTTAGATAATAAAAATTAAAG